CACACTTAGGCACACGCCCTTCTTATCTGTTCAGGTAGTCACTCACATTGGTTCTCTGCTTCCTTCGCCAGAGTCCTAGCTAATCATGGGTGAGACTGTGCGTGTGGCGGGGCTATGTTCATGGGTATGCAGATGTACACTCACCGAACAGGTCTAAGTATAAATGTATAACTGAAATGAAAATTTCTCATGTGAGCTGAAGGTCATCTGTCAAACCCCCCAACACCAGGCACGAAAAGGCTCTTTTTGAGTTGTAGTCAGGATTGTCCAGGAGACTCCCAAAACATTACAGGCTATTGCTGTGACCACTTAGCTGTGTCAGCGCTTGTGGAGGCAGACCTGCATCCTCTGCTGGAGCAGTTCCCGAATGTGGAGTCTGCTGTGGGACATGTTGACAATACTGAAGCTAGCTGTGATTTAATGCTAGAGGTAACCTTTTGTGTAACGTAGTAAGACAGTTTTGAGTTAAATTGATTCTAACCAGCATCATTAGAGCTCTTCACCATATCTCAGAGGGAAATTCAGCTAAGAAAGCATAGCTCTTAATCTGTTCCTCTTCTTTGAACCCTTGGGCCTTTGCCCTGATATAATCAGGTACCTGGAACTGTTGCTTAGCTGACCTTAAAAATATATATATATCGGTTGAGCTGGTATTTTCACCTTTTGGCATTTGGTGTTCTCTCTGAGAAAGTAAAAAGGACAAGAGACCAGAAGAGACACGTATGCTCCTGTTTTAGAGCCTGGAGGTGAATGCACGCTGATCTATTGTATTCTGGCTCTGGCCAGGAAGGTTCTCCCCAACCCAACCATTGCATGGAGGGAAGGCCTCTGAGAGCTGGATTAGGTTTAGTTGGTAGAGGTTATGTGAGTGACGGAGGCCCTGGACTTGGGCAGCTGTTGAGTACCATACAGGTATGTCAGCGTTAGTTCAGAAGTGTAACAGCAGTCCACAATTAATCTCACACTTCTGCAAAATGTGCCTTTCATTAGCTTAGAATGGGTTAGGCCAGCTGAGGGATGCCAGCAAATGTGGAGAAAATGCAAACACCGATGTGAACTCGGCTGCAGAGAGGCTTCAGAGACATGGTCCCGCGTGGTCTGCCTAACACGCTGCAAGCTGTCACCTCCCTCCTTCATACACCTGTGTTCCCTTTGCACAACCTGCCTATTTTCTGACCTAGATCAACATAATTCACCTAATATTTAAGAACTGTTATGTGGGTATACAGAGAAAAACCTTCCTTGCACATTCTCGTTGATGGAGACACCAGACAAGGTAAACAAAATGTATGTTTACTGGCAAGTTCTAAGGAGACATGCTGGGAAGGGAGGGTGGGGAGGAAGGAATTACAGCTGTGGGTATGGCAGCCTGGAAAGAGCTCACTGAAAAGCTCATTTTGGGTTAAAGTTCAGGAAGGAGTGAGGAAGTCAGTGTGTGACAGAGATTGAACATTTTTGTTTCAGGCAGTTGAGAAAGCATGGGAACGACGTTGCTAAGATCTGTCCTTTCCTGCAGGAAGTGGAGCGTTGTAAGCAAAAATAGGACATGTACTAACATGTAAGTTCTGTACTCCATCTCCACAGACAATAATAATAACTCAAGTGTTACGTACACAGGAGATAATAATATAATAACTCAAGTGTTACACAGGAGATAATAACTCAAGGGTTACGCACAAGAAGACAGGAAATGCTAGTTGCTAACACCAGATTGCCACCCTGGGAAACGGGCTGCTTGGAAGATGAGTCGGCAAGGGAGAGTTTTGTCAGATACAGGTTTTGTTTCAAGTGAAGAATCAAAGATAAATGCACCAGTAAAACTCGCCTTCTGTTTCACGGTGTAATTAACCAATGCCCACCAAGTGCCTGTTCTGTGCCTTGAATGCTAGGCATCTAGAAGAAGCGGTGAGCAAGACAGATGTCTTGATCTCAGATGACTGCATGCAATTGTGGGGAAGAAACAGGCTAATTATAGTCATGTCGTAACTCGTTAGGGACTTGAGAGGAGGAAACATTTGAGTCTGGAGTCAAGGTCAGAATACACTGAGTTTGAAATGACCACTTCCAGAGTGTAGAATGAGGTAAGAAGGCCAAAGGGAGATGGACGGTGGAGAAATGGGCAGTGATGGGCTTTCATGAGTGACTGTTGGGTTCAGCTGCATTAATATCCTTGTAAGTCATCTTCCCGATGACTGGGTTCGCCGAGAATAGAACTGATCCATTTGGGGAGCTCAGGCATGTCCTTTTTGTCAAAGATTAGAAACAGGACAAGAAGACATTGGCCAGAGGGAAGAGAAAGCAGCGTAATGCAGACGGCTCCTAGGGATTAATGGGTTTCAGATTCAAGAAGAGTATGGGGAAGTGAGGCCGGTTGTGGGTCAGAAGGGTGTAGGCCAAGTCTTTCAAGAGAAGGAGAGGCCATTAGAGTACAAGCAGGGCCTAGAAGCAGATGCTGCAATCAGGTACGCGTGATTGGAGGTAGATGAAAGGGCTGTAGGGCTTTGAGTTTGAGGGGCAAGAGTGGAGGTGAAAGATCTGATGGGGTAGAAGAGCGTTTAGCAGATAGTAGGAGCATGCTAGCAAGTGAAATGACTACCCTGCTTTTTTTATATTAACCTTGGGTAGTTAATACAGAGATTGAGACTCCTGAACAACCCTTACCCTGAGATAGAACGGTGATGGGTCTTATGCTGGGTTTTTCTGTAAGATGCCCAGCTGGGGTGCAGAGCAGCCCAGCTGTGGAGGGGAGGGTCCTCTGAGGAGCACAGAAACCCCCGAGAGTAGATGAGGCTCAGCCAACTCTGACTTTGGCAGACCTGCTGGAAGTGTAGACCCTCTATCTACCTGTGTCCCACGTGGGTGAGAAGACAGCAAGTCTCGTGGAAAGCAGTCCGTCTGTCCTGTAAGTACTTCTGGAGTCAGCATCCCGACTAACCACAACAATAGCCCACATTCAAGCGCTTCCGACATCTCCAGCATGAGCTGATCACTTGACCTGAAATGTCTGTGTTGAAAATCCCACTAGGTAGGTGCACAGATGTGATCCGGGTATAGAGTATGTGATCACACTCAGATCGCCAACTGACTCCAGAACTTGGTCCCATGGTCCCTATTATCGTCTCTCCCTGGTTCCCATTATCTACAACCCCATACCCTCACCCCTTCTTACCCTGTCAGAATATCTTCTTGATAGTGCTTTTGCTTCCAGTGGCTCTTTGAGCAGGGGAGCACAAACACTCATGACATGGTGTTTCCATTACAACTTGGGATTAGGATAGCAGCAAGGTCTAGCTTCTAGATAGCCACATGTCTTAAGCATGGGCTGCCCAAACAAAACACCATATTCGATAGATTAAACAATAGGAATTTATTTTCTTATAATCAGGAAGTTAGAAGTCCGGTTTGAAGATTCTGGTTAAGTCAGTTTGGGAAGAGGGTTCAAAGATGGCCAGCATCTCTGTATGTGCACACAGAGCCTTCTCAGCTACGGGGAGTGAGGGGTACGTGAGGGCTTCACCCCTGTCTTCAGGAAGCTCCAGTTCCCTGAAAATGCAGCCATTCTGGGAATCAGGACCTTGACATCAGATTGGGGAGAGCATACCTATCACTCTGCCCACAATACTAAATTGTAATCCCATTGTAGTCCACTGGCTTACATATCGGCAGAGGAGATGGGAATTCGGCCACATCCTGCTGTCCCTGGGGAACCCCAGTCCCACGTAAAGAAGAACCATTGCTGCTCAGCCAGCCCAGGAAATAGGTAGAGTCATTCAGAAAGTGCTGGCACAAGGGGCTCCCTCTCACTCGGCCTGCTTTCTAGATTCCAGCTCCATGTAGGCCCAGTTATCTGAGACTGTATTCCAGAAGCATCTACTGAAAGTAGCCACAGCCATGTTCTAGAGACATGTGTTCCAGCTTGTGTCTATCTTAGCACCTTTGGCCACCTTGGTGCTATGAGGGGGTCCCAATGGCTATGCATCATTGTGGCTATTGCTGATAGTGGCTTAGGAACCCACAGGTGACTAACTTCGTAACCTATTACTCAGTCATGTTCTTCTCTGAGGGGACCAGCCGTTGCTTTTCCTTGTAGCCACAGAAGTCAGGTGAGCACATCCTGTCTGGGAGTCAGCTTCTCTCCTCAGCAGTGCTGCCTCACGTCTGTATCTCAATTTAACCATCTTTAGCATTTGATAATTCTTCAGTGGGAGCGTTGTTCAGGCCTTTACACTGGTTTAGTATGCTGCCTGACAGAGCTTGGTGATACCATACCCATTTCACAGAAGAGGCCACAGGACATAGGTTAAATAGTTCACACAAGATCATATGGCTTTTGAGAGACAAGTTGGCATGTAAAGCCAGAGGGTCAGGGCAGAGTTGGGACTGGCTCAGCACATCACCTTCAAAGCTGGCCGCTGGGGTGTAGTAGAATACCCTTCTACACAATATTCCCATCCTTCCCAGTCCCCAGTCTTGAGCATGTGATTTTGGTATGCCAGCTAGGGGCTCGTGGTTTGCTCGTCTATGCTCATGAAGTCTCTGCAGCCACATTGCCTGTGGATTAGCTGGCTTATCCTTACCAAAGGCTTGAAGATGTTTGGCTCCGTTTCCTATAATCTACAATGCTCTGGGGAGCTTGTGGAGTGGGTTGTGCTACCTAGAGCCTACCGGCTTTGTGAGCAACCCCACACCTGGAAACTTTCCTGCCACCGCCTGCCTCCTCCCTGGCTTCCTAGGATAGGGGTAGGAGGCATGGTGGAGAACCCTGCCTAGGCTGCCCGAGCCTCCTGTCCGGCCATCTGAACATGTCTAAAAGCCCTTATGAATGTTGCCGACTTCCTGTGTGTATGCATTCAGGCAGGGGCTAATGTGCTTTTCCTGCTTCAGGTTCCCATGACTCCAGCATGGCTGAGAATTAACTGGATTAATATGTCAGATTCTTCTTCAGTAAAAATGTCTCCTAAGCTCAAGTGAAGTGAACTTTAAGCCAAGTAGCTCCTGGGAGTATTTTACACGACCATGAAAAGAACTTCCTGGCCTGGCACGGTAGCACATGCCCTTAATCCCAGCCCTCGAGGGGCAGGGGCAGGGGCAGGGGCAGGGGCAGGAGCAGGGGCAGGGGCAGAGGCAGAGGCAGGGGCAGAGGCAGGCAGACCTCCATGAGTTCCAAGCCAGTGCTGTGAGACCCTGTGTCAAAAACCAACCATCCACCTGGAATTAGGCTGACTTTGAAAATAGCCAAGGCTGTCCCCAGACCTATCTCCTTGTCCTCCGTTCCTGTGGGGTTCTCGGGACTGACTTCTCTCTGCTTGGGAGGAAGTGCCCTCTCCCCCTTTTAGGACCTACCTTCACCAAGCCCTGTCTCTGGTTCAGAAGCTTCAGGCCCAAGAAGGTTCTGAGAGCAAAGGTGCGAGGGAAGGACCTGCCTCACAGAGAGGGTCTCCATGGGGTCCTGTTAGAAGGAACTGATTCAGCAGGTCAGATGGCAGTTATCCCTGGAGTCTGCCAGAAAACAAAACAAAACAAAACAAACCCCTCTTTCCATAGCAGGTGAAATGCTGGGGAAAACCAGGGAGGAGGTGGTATGCTCAGACCGGCCCTGGCAGTAGAAGATACCTCCGGTCTAGGCCCTCTAGATAGACCCGCTCATACTCCCTTTCCAAAATGGTGCAACTAATGATCAGTGTTCTCAGTGCTGGGTTTAATTTGGTGAGATTTTATTGCAGAAACATGATCCGTGGAGGCCTGAGGTGCAGACTCTCCCATGCAGGACCCCTGCAGCTGTGACCCTTTGCGCCTCCACTAGCTTTCTGGGCCCCTGCTCTTAAAGGAAACTAGGTAGTTGAACCCGAGCTGGACACAATGAACCCTTGCATTATTTCCCTATCGGATCCCCAGGGTCAAAGAGCAAGAGGGGTGGTAGCCATTGCAGGGAGACAGCCATAGGGCTGGGGAGCCCAGTCCGGAGAGGCAGCTCTTGGTTAGTCCCTTGCCGTGCCTGCTGCCCTCTGTGAGCAAAGCCAGGAACTCACCAGGCAAGCCAGGCTCCTGTCTGGCTGGGTACTCCTCTTTCTGGATGGTTTCCTGGCAGGACCCGATGTAGAGGGTAGAAGGGGGCACTCGACCGGGGAATACTTTCAGGCACCCCACACAAACCTCAACGGCTCTCCCGCCATCACTTATTCTCCAGGTCCGAAAGGGTCTTTTAGTTCTAGGCGAAGTGTCCCAGGGGCCAGCGACTCTGGAGCCCACCCTGCCCTGCTCCTGCTGGAGGCTCTTCGAGACTAAGACCAAGCGCCCCGAGGGCCTGATTCAGTCTGCTCTAAACCGGCCGCGTCTTCCAGGGCGCACGGGCATCGCGCAGCGAGCGGTCGTGGGGCAGCGCAGCAAAGGCCGAGTGGCGCAGCTGGCAGCCGATGAAGAGGACGACGAGAGCCACAGATAGCAGCAGGAGGAAGAAGAGCAGCAGGTAGGTGGACAGGTCAGGCTTGGTGGCCGAGCCGTCCCGAACTCCACGCGCGGTAGCCAGTTCCAAAGGCAGAGCACCCTCTGCCTTAACTGTGGCTCCGGGGGCCAGCGCGCCGCTTCCCGCTACCTCCGGGCCGCTGGTGGCGTTGAACACGTCTCCGTACATGATCCGCGGGTCCCGCCGATCCTGGCGGGACCACCTCACTTCTGCTGCAGACCTGCGCTGCTCAGCGCCTCCATGGCGTTCCCCTCCTGCGCACCTGAGGAGGAATTGATGCCCCGCGGGCGGGAGGTCACCGAGACAACTGGAGGGTGGGGAGGGGCGTTCAGATGTGTAGTCCAGGAGACCCAGGCACCTCAGGTGTTCCCTCTTCCCATTGTTGCTACCAGGACAGAGTCCTGAGCCCTTGGCCCATCTCGTGATTTTTTTCTGTCGCTCTTCAGCTTGGATGAGCTCCGGAGCAGTCCTGGGCTGCAGCAGCTACTAAGGGTGCAGGTGAATGCAGCAGCAACTCTGTTGGGCTCTGCGCTGGGCTCGGGGTGCTCTGGGATCCTCCGCTTCCCCAGTCCTGCAGCCTCGGATCCTTGTCCAGACGCCCGGTGTGTAGGAGCCTGTCCTAACGCGCTCCCACCGCTGCTGCTGCTGCTGCGCTCCTGTCTGAGCTGGAGACTGAGCTCCTAGCGCCTTCTGTCCTGGGCGGGAGGCAGGGAGGTGACAGGATTTGCAGCACTGCCTTGAGAGAGGCTGCAAGCCAATGGATGTCCTAGGATCAGAAAGGAGGCAGCACTGTGCCTGCCTCTCATCACTCCGAAGAGGACACTGGGGGGGGGGGGGGGGGGGGAAGAGGAGCCGGAACAAGAAAGGCTGGGAGGGGAGTGGGGTTTTAATTCCTCTTCCCAGTTGCTTCTCCAAGCCTCACACCTGAGATTGAACGAGCTGGGATTTGAACCCGAGCCATTGCACAGTGGTTCTGGCAGCTGATGTTCATGGCTAACCACAGGTTGGATACAGGGCATAGGCTTCAGGGTTTAGGTCTAACACTGCGACCTGTCACAGCAGTGTGGCACCGCTGCCTGGAAAGATGTCACTTGCCAAGCTTGCACACCAGGGTTGTGGTGCAAGGGAGCCTGGGCTCAGTCCCTAGCTACCTTTCGAGGTGTGGGGCACAACTGATTTCTGACCAGCCACAGGCCATCAGGCAGAGCACTAAATTAAGGGGTGAGCTGATTACTTTTTGTCAATTTGACACAAGCTAGAGTTATCTGGGAACCCCAAGAAGGAAACTGACTGAGGGCATGTCTGGGGGAGGGGGCGTTTTCTTGAATAAAGACAATGTGGGAGGTGTGCTGTGCCATCCCTGGGCAGGTGGTCCAGGTCCATGAGAAAGCCGGCTGAGCAAGCTATGGGAAGCAAGCTAGTAAGCAGTATTCCTCCATGGTTTCTGCTTCCGTTCTGCCCTGGCCTCCATCAGTGATAAACTGTGACCAGGAAGTAAGCCAAAAGAGACCCTTTCCTTCTCTGGGCAGGTCTTTCTTGGTCAGAGAAGCAAACCAGAATGGGGGCGGCCTGAGTCAGAGACCAAGTGCCACCAAGTGTCACCAAATGCCCCCTGTTCCCTTAACCTTGCCTCTTTAATTACCCCCCCCCCCCCGCCGGTATAGCCAGTTTGCATAGAGCCCCAGTGACTGGCTGCCCGTTGCTTAGTCTGGGCACACCTGAGCAAAATGGGACTGAGGAGAGGTGATTCACACAGGACCTGTGGGTGCTCAGGGTTCCACGTGAGTCGGTCCCTTGCTCAACAACCCTTGTCTGCTCTGCTGTTCCATAAAGAGGCAAAAAGAGAGCATGAGCTGACCACTGTCTACTCAGATCGATAGCCCTGGAAAAGGCTTGGTGGCCACACTATAAGTGGGAAATCAGTGGGACTGGGGGTGGGGGCGGCAAGTCTTGCCTTCAAGCGTGAGGTGAACACCCAGTTGCCACGCTCAGCAGGCGTGGGCTGCAAGGCCGGAGCCAGGCGCTGCAGGTGAGAGACACAGGACCAGAGTAGACAGTGGCCTCAGATGTGCAGGGGCAGACGCTTCTTCTGGTTTCACATTCTAGACGTCTCTCTCACTCCTCACCCTACTGTCGGCTCTGCTACCTCCCCCACTGTGGGAGAGCATTACCCAAGCAGCCATGTTCACGTCTGTGTCCCTCTGTGCCTTTCTCCTCCCCACATGGAGAAGTAAGAGCCTCAGGAAAGCCTGGGCTGGCAGCTGAATGAGCTGATGGAAAGAGGAGCTAGTTTCTCTCCCACCGCACACTGGGTGCGGCCACAGCACAGCAGGTCAGAGGTCATCCCCACAAGCCCAACTCTCCATGTCACGGAGACACCTCTTCACCCTGTCTCACTTGACATGGTGGCCCTGAGTGTTGAATTGAACAACACATAGGGTGTTCTGGGGAGACTCCCCGGGCCAGGAGGGGCCATGTAGAAGTTAGGGAACAGCAGGACTCAGCACTGCCCACACCTGCCTCCGTCCTGGCAAGCAGCCTATGTGCTTAAAGGACACCAGTCCCTGGGCCTCCACGTTTGGCAACTGTTTAGACCAACAACTCACTTTTCAGATGGGAAAGCTGGCTCGGAGAGGTGCCAGAATTTATCTTCGTTAGCCCCGGATACTGTAACTGGCCCAGGGCTGCAGTAGCAGGGGCAAGTGTTGCTTGCTCTGTAGGTCTGGTCTAATTTGTACTGCACTTGCATGGGAGGTGAAGTCCTACAGACAGGCCAAGCCAGAACAGGCCTCCCTGGCACCTTACCCACGCAGTAATCAGCCGCGGGGCTGGATGGAGGTTTGCTTCTGGGATCTTGTGTGGCTTGAATGAAAGGCCCAGGTGGTTAGGTTTGGGGCTTGGTCTGGAACTCTCTCCCGAGCACTGGGTGGGAAGTGGTGAGGCTGACTTTGCCCATTTCTACTAAGTACCAGCCTGGCTAGATAAGTGCCCAGGCAGTGGGCTTCCTACAGCTGTGTGGGCAGCTCAGTTGGGAGGTCCTAAGTGGCATCCTGGGCAGGACAATGCCTTTGGGCTGTAAAGGGAGGCTGGGTAGCAGACAGATGGCTGCTCTGTCTCCGGTTGTGTCTCTAGGATGTGGCTGTGGAACGTGGGTATATAAAGAAGGCTTGGTATGAAGAGAGGGTCCCTTCCTTGCAACATCGTAGGCTCATGGTGGGGGCAAAGCATCTCTGATGCTGGCCCAGGCCCGACACCACTTGCTCCTCCTGTCTGTGCTGCGCAAGTCCTCCCGCCTGCCACTGAAGGAGCTGGACCACCAAGGCCGTGCAGATGACGTCACTGAGCTGTTCTCATGGCAGAGCGGTTCTGGTAGCTGCTGTTCGTGCCTCTTTCCACAAGCTGAGCACAAATGGCCTTCAGGGTTCATCTCGCACACTGGAGCCTGTGATGGCACACTGCTGTACCTCTGTGCCTCCCAGGCAAGAGGGCGGGGCCTAGGTAAGGGGTCACTTCCAAGGTCACACAGGTGGGTTGCAGGGTGAGGGAGCCTCGACTGCCACAGCCTGGGAGTGTTCACCCAGTCTATCAAGCCGCGTGTTATCAAGCTGCGTTTTCTCTTGACAAAGTTGGAGGGGTACCCTGCCTCTTTGGGGGAGTCCTCTGGTATCGATGAGGAAGCCACCGTTTATTTTCTGAAAGACAGAGCCCTGAGAGGGTTGATCATGTTCCTTGCACATCCCCGGGCAGGCAATTGAACAAGCCTGTCACTGAGTGAATGCACAGATAGAGTTTGCGCAGTTTTTTATGCAAGCTGGAGTGACCTTCCATTAAGGGTGCTTTGTGGATGCACACATTTAAGTCTTTGAAAGATTATAAAAGGGGGCTCTGAGGCCGCCTTTGACTGGCAGAGGTCACAGGGCTGTGCGCTCACAAGGACCTCTTTCCCATTCCGTGCTTATTGAGTGGTATGTGTGCCCCTCCTGATGCCTGTCTGCAGAGCCCCAAGGGAGGCGAGGTAAGGACACCCTCCTGCCTTGACGACCATTTGGCAGTTGTTGAGTGGAAACTAGGGGAGCATTGATGTAGCACACCTGCGCTACGGGATGGTTCACGAGCCAGGAAAGGGGCTGGAGGTTTAAATACACACATACACACACACACACACACACACACACAGAGAGAGACAGAGAGAGAGAGAGAGAGAGAGAGAGAGAGAGAGAGAGAGAGAGAGAGGCACGGGTCATCCTTGAAACAAGAATGCCAACTTTATTATGTGCCAGGGAAGCTTATATAGGTAGGGATCCTTAACTGATAGCCACGCCCCAGCTCTTGGGATTTCCAGCTGTAACACCCACCAGGAACCACTTCTCTGCCATCAGGAACTCATGAGGGTCTCGTGCTCAGAGCAGCTGCAGGCACAGGAAAACAACTTGTTTACTATGCTCACTCCAGCAGGCAAAGGGTCTGAGCCAGACAAAGAAAATCAAGGGACCAGAGGTCTGCAGCCCCCAACACACTGAGCCCCAGGATTTTGTAAACTTTGCTGAAACTGGTACGGTTCGTGGTGAAGCCATTTCTGTTTCTTCTAAATGTTTGGGGAATCACTATGAAACCACTAATGTCAAACAGACTGGGGGTGAAGAGACTTCCTGTGTATGTGGGGGTGGTGGTGGTGGGTGGGCTCATAGTTCCCCTCTGAGTGATGAAGATACATACCCTGCTTGCAGAACTTATTTTTGGTTTGAGGATTGTTTTATTTATTTATTTATTTTGGAGACAGGTTCTCTATGAGTAGCCTTGGCTGTCTGGAACTCGCTCTGTATACTAGGCTGGCCTTACACTCAGATCCGCCTGCCTCTGCCTCCTGAGTGCTGGGATTAGAGGCATGCACCACCACCACCGCCGGGCTATTTTTATTTTTATTTTTTTCTAACTGCCTTTGCTCCAGCATCTGAGTCAACCTGAGGACAAAGAGGAGGTGCCATGTTTCCGGCATAGTAAACCCCCCTTCTGTGGGACCCCTCTCACATCCGGCATGCCCGTTCTCCCAGCCTGTTGCCTAGCCTCATTAGGAAAACTGCTTCATTTTGGAGTCTTGGGGGGAATTTGTTGTTTATTTCCTAAAATGACCATTCTAAGCGGCAGCTAGGTCATCAGCCAGTACAGTTGTCGAGATTGTAAAACAACAGCTAACTATTGGCAGCATGATGATTTGGTTCCTCTGGGGGCAGCTTCAACAAGGTCGAAGTAACTGCAGAATGACGTTTCTTTTTCCACCTCTTGATTTCTCTTGATTATGAAGAGAAGAAACTCCGATGTGATGCTGTTCGTGGGGGCCCCATGATGAATGGGCTGTGTAGGTCCAAGAAGCCACCAGACTCTAAAAAGGAGGGCCTGAGAGGAACCGTTTACGACTAAAATGCCATCAGACAGGCCTGTGAGGAGTTCCCAAGCAAACATGGCCCCCTGGAGTCTCTTGTGGG